ACAAGACTTTCTTATTGAGGCAGATTTGGAAACTCGTATCAGAACTCACTGCCGTCTTGTAGTTTTTTACATACATGACTGGTTTATTCAACAGTCTGAGCTCATTAAAATAATTGTATATTTCTCCTGCCACAGGTCAGCTATTTCAATGTATTTCATTGACTCTGAGACACATATTTTATAAAACATTTCGACATTGCTGAAATCAGCATGAGTCTTGCCATCCACAGTGTCTTCAAGTCAATTAAAGAAAACAGCATATTGAATGTGCCTTTTCCATCTCTTAACAGTATATAGCGAAGGTCCCCCAACTTCCTAATTACCCTGGGGTAAAAAAAGAGGTTCATCCAGCTGAGTTGAGCACAGTCAGTGTCACTCTTTCACCTCCTCTCCTGCTGCATCCACGGGACGTTGCCTGGGTGAGGTGCAGAATGTTCTGGTGAGGTCAGGTCCTCGGGGTCCTCCCCCCTCCCTCCTTTGGGTCTCTCCTCCTCTGTTTGTTGGGGCTGGAAGGAAGGGCGGGATGTATGTTCTACTGTGTACACTTTTAATTGTAACCTCGTGTATTGACACCATTAACTGAAAGCTTGTTGAATTAATTTACTTCTCACAGCAACACTAAGGTAGTATTACGAGCTCCACCTTAGAGAGATTCAGTCATTGCCAGGATTAGGATTTAACCCCATTTCTTGGCCACTAGGCAGAATCTTTTTTTACCTTTTGCACATCAGTATTGAATTTTTTACATCAGTTGACAGTGATGTGTGGGGATCCACGGACGAGGGTTACAGAGAATCGCCAGGAGAGTTAAGGTTCCGATGCTCAGGAAGAGTGAAGCAGGGCCAGACCTGAACTTGTCATGTGTCACAGAACTTAGAAGTCAGGTAGAAGAAGGGCCCACATGGCAGCAGCTGAGGATAAGCCAGTGAGGGTCAGGGAAAATCAGTAGATAATGGTGTTTTGGAAGTTGACCAAAGGCAAGGGTTGGAGGAGGGGCTGACAGTACTTAGTGCTGCTGTGTCACATAAGATGAGCACAGAGAAGTGAGGGAAGGTATCAGATCAGGTGACGCGGGTGTCATTAGCAAGGAGACTTGGGAACAATGCTTCACATGCCTCAATACCTCCTGTATCTTTCAGGATAAAGGATAAAGAGATCAGTGTCCTAGAACCTACAAGGCCTGGCAGGGTTTGACTATCACCTCCCTCTGAGGCCAGATATTTTTTTTTTGTTTTTCATGTCTGACTTTTTTTTTTTTTTTTTTGGCGGTACGCGGGCCTCTCACTGCTGTGGCCTCTCCCGTTGCGGAGCACAGGCTCCGGACGCGCAGGCTTAGCGGCCGTGGCTCACGGGGCCCAGCCGCCCCGCGGCACGTGGGATCTTCCCGGACCGGGGCACGAACCCGTGTCCCCTGCATCGGCAGGCGGACTCTCAACCACTGCGCCACCAGGGAAGCCCCCGACTTTGTTTTTTATTCAGATAGAATTGATATATAACATTGTATAAGTTTAAGTGATGACTGTATACATTCATGTATTGTGATATAATATGTAATATATGTAAATACAAGGCTCTGCTTCTCTCTGTGGCAGAGGCTCACATGCCTCTTTCTGTTCCTTGAACACACTATCCTCCTTTAAATATAAAGTTCTTTCTGCCTGGAATACTCTTTCTTTCTCCCCATGTTCATTTAACTTCTATTAGTTTTTTCAGGTCTAGCTTCATTGCTTTTTATTTCATGCAAACGTCCTTGACCTCAAGACCAGACCAAATACCTTATTATGTACTTAAATCATAACATCAAGTATTTCCTGTGTGCTAATTAATTATTGTCTCTTTCACTAAAGTATATTCCATCAGGGCAGGGAGCACATCTTTTTTTGCTCACCATTTTTCCTTCATCATGGTAAAAATGACTGTCTTATATTGGGAGGTGACTATATATTTGTGGATGAATAAATGGATACTATCTGCTTCTGCAGTTCATCTCATGTAATCAGTTTCTATCTTTTTTTTATAACATCTTTATTGTAGTATAATTGTTTTACATCAGTTTCTATCTTGATGTAACTTTTACTTTATGTAACAAAAAATCTGGGAAATGATGATTAATTTAAAGAAAATATTTAAAATTTAAAAATATTATATCTTTAAAAAATCTAGTATAAGTCAATCAGCTATGATTATTTTGCATTTATTGATCAAACTTTGAGATTGTTTTGGAGTGTTTCAACCACTCAGGAAGGACCCAGCTATTTATTCTTTTACATATAAATTCTGACATCACTTCCTGGTCCTTTCCCAGTGTCAGTGGTTCTTAAAAATGCCAATCATCAGCCTTCTGCCCAGTCCCTATTTCTCAGAATCAGTGGATCACACCAGTGTCACAAATGCTCCTTCTGTTTCTATGAGAGTCTGTGCTGCTGCTGCTTGTCTAGGGCCATGCTGGGCCTACATGTGATAAAGCAGAGATTTCCTCGGGTGCCCTGTGGAGAGGCCAGCTGCTTACCAGGCTCCCACCTCTATGTCCAGTTGTCCACCACCAAAGGGGAGCTGTGCTCTGTCCCCCAACGGGCTGCGAGGGCCTTCCTTCCTGCTTCAGCCCCTGGGTGTCTTTGCCTCCATTCTGAGAGCACTTGAACTGTGTACCTATTCACCCAGTGCTGTCTCTACATCAGGCCCTATTTCTTTGTACATTTAGAGTATCCCATAAGCATTCTGCTACCTCAAACTCTAATATTTCTGGTTGACACTAAACTCAATTTTAACACCTTAAAATGCATAATCCAACTCATTTGTTATTAGTTAATCTCAGTATTCCTTGGGTAGAATCTCTCTACCCACCTGCCTGAAATGAAGTTGAATCTCCTAATTTCTTATTACTTCTTCAAAACTGTGATATGCAAGCCCTTTTGAAATGTCTCTTTGAGGAATCTGACCCCCTCTCCTTAGCTTGTTCAAAAGTATGTTTTCTTAACTTCACTTCCTTTTAAAAGATGGTGTGTCACGCAGTTTTTTCCTGGCCTCCAGTTTTACCAAATACCCTGCCATAGTAGCAAGCTAACAGAACACAAGTATTCACTTAAACATACTCTAAGCTGACCCCCAAATAGATTTCCATTGCAAATGTATTTTAAGAAATAGGCTGGGGAGCCAAGAACTAAAATCTGTGGCCTCTGACTCATACGTTTCCTTAGACCTACCTCCTAAACAGCAGTGCAGACATGCCCAGCTGTTTTATTTAAAAACACATTTGCAAAAAGAGAACAAGATCATTTTTATGACATCAAGTTCTATCTTTCTGAGATTAAGAATCATAAAAGTACAAAGTAAAAAAGATTGGAGAAAGAGGTGAGAAAAATAAAAGAAGATAGTAAGGTAAATAAGGAAAGCAAGATGAAACTTGGGGATGGTTTCAAAACATAGCTTGTTAACTTTGCAGCTGTGAGACCTTGGACAAATCACCTAACCTCTCTGAACTTCATAGATAACATGAGGAATTTTCTGTCTCATTATCTATCTCAAGGGTTGTTGTACAAATTGGATTAGGCAATTAAAGGGTTAAGCATATTCCTGGACATGGTAAGAGCCCAATAAGTTAGCTACTATAATAATAATCGTATAAAATCAGAATCCTAATAAGAATCTCATTATAGTGTTACTATGCAGAAATTAAGATGTGGGATTACTTTCATTTGCACCAAGGGTGGTTGCAAATGTGGCTCTGTACTTCCTAGCAGCCGAAGTAAGTATAAAACAAGTAAGGTTGCAAACATCAAAAGATGTATATACTTAAACGCAAAAGTCCTGCAACACCGCTTCCTAACCAGCTTGCTGCAAGGGCTCTGTCTCTCTCGAAGTCCCCTCAACATTATCTGTAGTTCAAATAATAATGCCTGGTATGTCTGTGCATGAGGATTTTTAAATGCATTCAGAGATTGTGACCATGATACCAGTTTACTTAACTGTATTGCTGAATTCACAGAGGCTTTCTGCCAGCATGAGTTTTCCTAATTAATGGACTTACTAAGAACACCATCAGAATAAGAAGAACACTGTGTATTTGTTGTCTTTTAATCAGAAAGTTTGAGAGAGTATTACTGAGGGAGAAAAAAATGGTTAACTTTTGTAAAAGACAGCTCTTGATTTAATGGCTCATCTTTTCCTCATCAACAGCACCAAGAATAGCACAGAAGTATTACTTTTTTGAAGCAGGACTTGCTGCAGTAGAAGTGAGTGTCCAATTTCATGGCTGGCTCCACAAGGATATCTATGAAAGATTTGGGGCAAACCTGTGAAGCTCCCTGAGAGTGCTTTGCATAGGAAATGGCTAGATGCTAAAACTGTCATATATGCTGGGTTTTGAATGCCCTGATGGTAAATGATACTGGTTATCGAAAATAACCAGATAGGTAGTAGTTCTTTCATTCATTTGGTCCTTTTAAAACCCATACAGGTATTTTTTACTAATTCAATTAGTGTATCATCTTGACAACCCCCATTTTGCTGTAGCCATGCTGACTATGTTTCATCATCTTTTAGGTAAAAATGTTATGGATTTTTCAGGGCGGGTTATATTCGTTTTTGGTTGTAATGAATACTGCATGGGAGTGTTATTTGGATACTAAAAACACATCTTCCTTGTAGGGAACATCTTTTGAAAGGCCTGCTAACTCAGTCTAATCACTTGGGTTAAGGAAGTAAGATGCCTTTGCAGTGACTTAGAACAACTTTCTTGACTTCCTGCAAAGAGGACGCTTTACAGCATTTTTGGAGAAGTTAGTAAAACCGAATCTGACATCACTACCTAGCAGCAAGTGGTTTGTTCTCAGCGAAGGAGGAAATTGCTCCCTGTCCGATAAGGCACCAGTGAAGAGTATGCATTCATTTCTTTTCTTTTTGATTCAGTTTTACAGAGAAACATTTTTGCGGAAATAACCATTATTTTGCCTTTCAGAAGGACGCATGCCATTTCACAGGAATACGGCTGATTTCCAGATATGACCATGTATTTGTGGCTTAAACTCTTGGCATTTGGCTTTGCCTTTCTGGACACTGTAGTGTTGGTTACAGGTAAGTAGGAGGAAATTCATATTTCCTTAGTTATTTTGTGTGTGTGTGTGTGTGTGTGTGTGTGTGTGTGTGTGTGTGTGTGTGTAAGGTCATTGGTTTGAAATAGACATAAAAATAAATTAAGCATTGGTGACTGGAGGTGAGGAAGCCAGCTGTAAAACAGTCAAGGTTACTGTGCCTCAGAGAGACATGGCTTGCTATGTGACAGAATACATTGTTTCTGTTTAAAAAGGCATACATGTTTGGCCAAAAAAAAATATCACGATTTAAAAGGCAAACATTGTCTCTCTGTATCTTGGTTTACAAACTGTTCAAGGATATTACAAAAGCTATTACTTAACCCTCAAAATATACAAACACAAGTTTATGAATGTCTAAGGACATTTTAATGACAAAAGAAGTAAATTTTTGTCTTTTCAACAAAAAATGCACTTTTAAAAATCATAATATGGCTTTGCTTGCATGCAAGCCACTCCCTCTTTTCGGACCAGTAGTTTGCTTCCTCAAATTTTGATTATGACTGAAATATTTTATTGAATACTTTGTTGTATGGTAGTTTAAAATAAAACAATTGGGTATTTAATTAAATATGAACTTTCTGCAAATTCTTATCACAGAATGTATTTTAAATCAAGGTTTTGGTCCCTTACAGTCGTTTTAATGATTATTTGCTTTGAAAATTCTTATGGGGCCGCCGCCCTTCCTGGGTGATGGGTAAATAGTAGCGCCTTGACGAGATAAAAATACTTAAACTCTTAAGAATCATGCAAATGCTGTATTCTATAGGAAACTATAACTAATCGGACCTCTGGTACCTATTCATGTTTGAGATCTTTGTACACTTATGGTCCATTTAATGTACATTTCTTGAACGGTTTCAGTTTGGGTCATGAGTACATTTTTGGTTGATATGTAATATTACTCCTTATGGTGTAGAATCTAAAAGCAATGTTTTATTATTGAAAAGATATTTAAATGGTATTTTTGTAGATTTCCAAAAAAGTAAAAAAAAAAAAAAAAAAAAGAAAAGAAAACAGGAAAAATATTTTTAAAAATCTTGCTGATTGTAATTCACTTTGAAATCTTTTTTACTTTCTACTGCTCTCCTTTTCTCTAAAGGGCAGGGCAGTAGCTACCTTCTGAGCACACTACATTGTTAATTTACATTTTGTGTAACCAAGGACGGTAGAAAGCAGTGTGGATAGTGGTTTTTTTGTCTGTTTTCTTTACTGCAAAAACGGATTAAACATTTTTTATATAGGTACAGCATTTTGTCTTAGTACAGAAAATGTTTACCAAGTTACCATTCCTATAAAGTTGGTTATAATAATAAAAGCCAAATTATAAAGAATAATAATTTTAATAAGGTAATAATATGTGTATTATCATAAGTCAGAGTAAATTTCCATTAAAAATTCCCACTCAGGAACTGTTGGAAAACATTTCTAAATGAGCATCAAGAAATTCTGAAATATTTTGTAGGCCACAGAGCAAACCACCATAAAAATTTCAACACAGTCTATTAAGGATTTTTACCATAAGAAATATCTTTGAATTTATCATCAAAATAAGAGTATAAAATGATCTAGCAACCTTTAAACCAATTGGGCTGAATAGTTTACACTATAAATAAATGTATCGATATACATAGATTTATTCTGAAAACCAAGTTTCACTTAAACTGCTCACATAAATATGGAGAGCAAACATACTCATTTTTAGAAAAAATATATAGATATAATTATCTAGGTGTGCAAATCTTGTTTATCATACTTTGAAGTCCCCAGAGAGATTTTGGGATTCACTGTATAATTTTGGAAATTATTAATTCTTTAAATGATATATTTTTCTATATTAGCAACCTATAAGTTGCATTATATGTTTTACTTTAATGTGTTCAATTGAGTTTAGTGTTTGTAGGAAATATTAGACCTCAAATTTATATTGTGAACTCTAAAGGCATAAAGAAATAGAGCCAAATGGAGAGTGACTTCAGTGGATAAATTGTTGCCCAACTCGGATGTGTTATTTAATCTCTAAAATTCAAATATAGGCAAAGATACACTTTGCCAGAGCAGAGTAACATTGCTGGCTGAGTTTTACATAAATGTCTGATCTATTTGCTCTGTGCCTCTTTGCCATGTTAACCGGAAACCAACACTTTGTTTAAAATTTCTAAATTATTCTGGGGGACAGTGATGGTTTCAAGCATGCAGGTAGGAGTGAGTGATCTCTGGCTCTAACAAAGTAGTGCCAGAATCTAAGTGTTTCACACGATAACAGCCATGAATACATGAGTTATGTGAGTTATGAGTCATAACAGTTAAGAGTCATTTCCTGGACATAATTTTTCATTTTTCCATCTAAGTAAAAAAGAAAGAGCTCTTAGTTCCAAACATGTACCTTGCCTTGCACATTGCAGGTATTCAATACTAGTTATGAATTGAATTTGATCAGCAATCCTATTAAGTTCTAAATACAATGTAGAGTTTGGGGGTGGTGAGTATGATTATATATTGATTTTTTGGAAAACATTTTCCTAATCCAAATCTGCCTGGGATTGTTACCATCGCTAGACTTTGAAATGCCTTTGGTTAGAGGGAAGGTGAGGTAAGGTTAGGGGTCTGGCTTCCTTTTCCTCCCTTTCTCTACATGACTGAGCACAGGGTCAGAGCCCTCAGCTTTGAGCTGGGTCTTTGCTCTGTTTTGGGCTACTTGGTATCCTTCTACCAGTGACAATTAAGTACTGTAAGAACATAGATATTTCTACACTGTTTTTATGCATATACATACACACACACATAAATAGATGAGTTATATATATATATGTGTGTGTGAGTTATGTAATACAGAAACATTATATATTTATGTATATATATTGGTCTGTCTGTCTATCATCTCTCTACTGGTTCTCCACATTTGTCTACTTTTAAATATTGGAGTACTATGGGCCTCAATCTTCGGCCTGTTTTTTTTTTTTTTTTTTTTTTTTTTGCGGTACGTGGGCCTCTCACTGTTTTGGCCTCTCCCATTGCGGAGCACAGGCTCCAGACACGCAGGCTCAGCAGCCATGGCTCACGGGCCCAGCCGCTCTGCAGCATGTGGGATCTTCCCAGACCGGGGCACGAACCCGTGTCCCCTGCATCGGCAGGCGGACTCGCAACCACTGCGCCACCAGGGAAGCCCCTTCGGCCTGTTTTATTCTTATTTCCTAAACTCAGAGTTCCTTATCGTTACCTACTATGTACTGATTATCCTGATTCTCCATGTCCAGACTCACCCCTCAGAGGGTGGAACCTACCTCTTTTCCTTTTTTTTTTTGTTAGACTTTTGTGTTTAATATTTATTTAACACACCATTTTCCAACTAAATCATGAAACCCAGATATATTGTTTCATTCCTCACTTTCTCAGTCAAACAGACAGTGATGTAGAGCTATTCTAGAGCTCTAACAGTATTGAGGCAAAGTCTCTAAGCAAAATTATTTTAGCCTGTGTGCTGAGGGCTTATGTCTTTTTTCTTTTTTAAATTTTACTTTATTTATTTATTTTTATACAGCACGTTCTTAGTAGTTCTCTATTTTATATATATATTAGTGTATATATGTCGATCCCAATCTCCCAATTCATCCCATCACCACCACCCCACCACCTCCTTTCCTAAATTCAATCTTGTTTTACTGTGTTGTGTTTTTGCAAAAAAGAAAAAAAAAGAGAGAGAGAGGGAGAAAGAAAATCTGAAATATATATTTAAATGCTCCCCAGGTCCTATCATTTTACTTTGTAACAATCTCTAAAATCTTTGCCCCCCCCACCTCTATTGACATCCCTTTAATTCACATCTTTATCCCTTTCCACCTGCAGTGTTGTAATAGTATCCTAATCTGTCCATTTCTTTTCACACCCTACAGCTTAAAAATATAAAATTAAAGGGGAAAAAACCCTCTGACATCTTTTCGTTGCCTTGGTTTCTATTCTAAACTTTTGCCAGAACAACTGAGTCCACTGATGAGCTAGGAGCATGGCAGGAGCTGGGCAGGGATCTTTTTTTCTTGTTCTTTTATGATTGACTAAAATAGAACAAGCAGCAGGTAGTTTCAACACCCTGCTGTTCTACACTTCCTCAAGACCTCCAAGGCACTGCGCCAATCCTATTTCCCTTCTAAAATTCTCTTTCATCACTCTTGCCACAAAACATCTCCACTGAATTTAGATACTTTTTATCACCTTTCCTTGTCATTTTTCACATACTATTTCAGTTTTCTGTTGCTGGCATTATTGTTTACCAGTCAGAGCATTACGGCCATTGTAACCTACATGATAGCGGAAACCGTCTTATGCCTGTTTTGTATCATTTGTGCTTAATTTCTTCCCAGACACTGAAAAAGCAATGGGCGGTTTTTGATGAAACTGCAGATTATAATAATAGAGGAGAAGGAGGAGGGTAAGAAAATTTTCAGAAAGAAAGGACAGAGAGGGGAAAAACATGAAATGAAAAAACTAGTCAGAGGCGAAGTGGAAGGTGGAGGCCATTGGACAATTTTATCAAGATTAAGTAGAATCATTTTAGATCTAGATCTTTACAGGCTTTGCCCTTCCCCCCACCCCCGCCCCATTTCCTTCTTTCATCTCCTTATTTTACCTTTTCTCTGGAAAGAGCCTCCTGATTTCTTAAAAATCCATAGTTCATGCATGTTGTTTCTAAATTTTCCTTGACCTATAGTCTTTGGACATTCTCACTAGTGGCATTTCATTTGATGGGTCTGTTTTGTTCTTCAGATCCAGATGTCCACAGGAAGAAAAGTAAGGAATAGGGAGGGAGGGACTCATGTAGCAGGGGAACAAGACACCGGAGTCAGGTCCAGCCCTTGCACATACTGGCGTGGGTAGCACGTGACCTATTGCCCTGGGACTGTTGCCAAAGGCAGATGGAAAACGGCTCACCCTGCCCGTTGCATTTTGTGTGCACAGAAAGCCTGTAGGAGTCTGAGCATCATTTGT